AATTGACTCCAAAATTAAAAAAGTATTGAGGTTGCACAATACCTGTTGATTCGGCAAAATTGTTGATTTATACAGAAATTTGATTTTTAACTAAGAGCATAAAGTTGAAAAAAATGAAAAGTTGAAAAAAAATTAATTTAAACATCTAAATTGAAAAATTTGGGTACCTTCACGTTTCAGAGGTTTACTGAACATTTTGGCATACCTTAGAAAAAATTTGTGGATACAATTTTCGTCGACGATTTCGGGAGTACCTCTCAACCGATTTGAGTAATTCAAAAGCAATCGAATCTTACTGATAGAAAATTATGTTGACTAGTTTTTGGCAAAGACATGTCTAGCCGTTTTGGAGATACGGAGCACAGAGTGCAGAAAATAGAATTTAAGTTTTCGAGAGTATCTTGAAGTAAAACATTGTATATATTTTTCAATTCCACAAAAAAATAAAATAGAGAAAATTGACCCCAAAATTAAAAAAGTATTGGGGTTGCACAATTCTGTTGATTCAATACAAATTGTTTGATTTTTCACAAAAAATTGTTTTTTTGGTCTATATTTTCATAAAGCAAAATGATGTTTAGGAAATTACAATAAATAAGTTTAACTTTGCAATTCAGTTTATATAATTCTTAAAAATGTGAGATAAGATCCTTCATTCCAACTTCGCTTGATCTAGTTTGTTTATTCAATTTTCATGTAAACTTATGTAGACGTCATTGTCCAATTCATAAGGTCTTATTTTTCGTCTATAAAATACGTATAATAAAAGTTACAGTATTTATAATATTATATTTGAAAACATTTAAAATTCCTCGAATATTTATTAAGGTACGGCAAGTTCCAGCAACTTGCTTAAGGCACGATACCATGCAATACTAGTTATTATTCTATGTTGCAAATTTTTAGTTTTTATAAAATTAATTCAAAGATAATTCATTCAATATTTTAAAAAATGATAAAATATGATTTTGGAAAATGTTATAAGATTTTCCAGATTTAATTTAAAATTGATGAGGCAATTCTGCCGTAACAGAGCCCATAACATAGCGTTGTAAAAATGTGTTTCTATTTGCTGTGCAATCAGGCGTATTTTACATATGAACAAGCAAGAATGCACAAGATGTTATTGATAACAGAAGCTTTGAACTTGCAAATATATAGTTATTTTCACAGTTTCACTACCAAGAAAAATAAGTTCTGTTATTGGGGCAAAACTGCCCTACAAATTTACGTGTTTCTGTATTTTTATATATTTTTTTTCATTTTTCAGTCCAATCCTGGTGGTCGCTTCCTACCAGTACGAAGAATACTTCGACGGATCAATTGTCGCCGTCTGTTTGACCCAAGCAGATTCCTTCTGGCCAGCTCTGTTTTTCATATCTTCAATTTCTGTATTTTTTCTCATCCCTCTTGCCATCTTGGTCATTTTATACACCATAATAGCCAAAAACCTTATGGAAAATCCAATGACTGCAGTATCACACGGAAAAAACGGTAACAACATATACAAATATAGGCGGCAAGTCGTGGTGATGTTAGGGGCTGTGGTTTTATCCTTCTTTGTATGTCTGATGCCCTTTCGTGCCCTAACTTTGTGGATCATAGTGGTTCCACCAGAAACCATAATGTCTTTGGGCCTGGAAGGATACTACATCCTGCTGTACTTTTGCAGAATAATGCTGTACATAAACTCCGCCATCAACCCGATTTTATACAACTTGATGTCATCCAAGTTCCGGGAAGGTTTCATGAAACTTCTTGGTTGTCACAAATTACGACGACTCACCACTTCGAGTGATGGTAGAAAAAGTACTTTCAGAACTACTTCTAGTACTTTATCCAGCAATACTGATTCTTTTTGGAGACGATACAGTACCCAAAAAGCTGCAAAAGCAGGATCTCCTAAACATAAGAGCAAAATTGCAACTTTGTTGTTTCGGAAAGAAACTTTGGATGATGCTGAACCAAGACCGATTAGTAGTGTTGAAGCTCCTAGTAATACTGATCCTGATGAGATTAGAAGTTGTGCTGACAGAAGTAGTAAGAATAATAATAAGCAAAATTATGTGAGGAGTTTGGAAGAATCGCAGTTGGTGCATGAGTTGTCGTTTGCTAAAGAAAGTTTTGTCTAGGGATAAAGGACAAGTTTCAATACTCTTGAATTCAAATAGAATTTAAGTTTTCGAAAGTATCTTGAAGTAAAGAGTTGTATGTATTTTTCCACTACACAACAAAAATTTAAATAAAGAAAATTGACCCCAAAATTTAAAAACGTATTGGGGTTGCACAATTTCTGTTGATTCGGTACAAATTGTTTGATTTTTTTACATAAATTTTGATTTTTGGCCTATATCTTCATAAAAGAAAATGATGCTGAAAAAATTTCGCATTGAAAAATCGTAATTGTACAATGTCTAAATCGTAAATTTAGACAATTCAAAAACAAGGCTGAGGAAGTCTTAATCATCAATGAGGAAACATAAATGTTGCAGAAAAAAGGTAAAATTGTTCTGGAGGCCTAGAAAAAGTGAAGAAGTCGCAATTGGTCGCAACTTTGAATAAATGTTATCTAAAAAAATGAGAAAAAGCATTATGGAACATTATTTTTGAATATGTTATCTTTGGAAAAATCACATTTGAAACTTTTTTGATTCTTCTTTTTTGAGGGCTGGCAGAATGGCATACAAATTGCCTTTTGAATTTTCTATCTTTGAAAAAATCTTATTTATTTTTGAATGTGTTAACTTGAAATGGTAAATTTTCCATAACCATCCTGCCCATCTGGGTAAAACATTTTGAAAAAAATAATATTTTTTATTGTAAATTATCTTTATTGAGAACTTGTAAAACAAATTTAGTAACGTTTTACTAATGACTTTGTAAATAATTACAATTTTCAATAATTTCGAGACAAATATATTTTAATACTTTTATAATATTTTCAAAAAGGACCAAAGCATATAATTTGAAATACGTATTGGATAATAATTAAAAAATAATAAACTTAGGTCTGATGTTATTAGATATTAATGTAGAAGTAATATATCGAACATAATTTTTTAGAATATTTATTACACAATTTTGTTCACATACATTACATACATACATTACATTACATAAAATTTAGTTTATAATTTTTGCAGAATTACTCGCTATTGTTTTGGGTAACTAATGAGAAAATTTTATTAAAATTTTCTACGTACAAATTTCAGATTTGTAATTATTTTTAGTATTTACGATCTAATATATAATATTCTTGTTATTGATTAAACTTTGAGATTTAAATATTTGATTGTTATAAAATACTTTAAATAATTTAAATAAAACTTTGGTAATAGAAATATTAAATAAAATTAAAAACAAACATTCAATTTTAATTAATATTTTCATTACCAGTAGCAAACTTTTTAATTTTTTAAAATATTTTCAATCAATTTCACGAAGAATTGAAGAATTTCTCAAAGAAATTTTTTATATTTCAGATATAATTTAATAAATATTGTCATTAATAATAAATATATTTTATCACAATTTATCTAGTTCATTAATCAAGTAGACAAATT